AGAGAGAGAGAGGGGGGGGAGAGAGAGGGAGCAATGATTTGCTACACTGTTTAAATAAAAAACATGCCCATAAAATGCACAATTCATTTTTTTCTAATACTGTAATTGTATCTAACAATCACAGTAATAAAAAGAGGATCAATGCCATTTTCCAGCCGCCGTGGGACCTGCAGTGTCATTTGCAGGCTGAAGGCTTATTTTGTGAATGAAGCCACCAGACAACATGTGTGTGACACAGTGATCAGGGAACCACTTGGATTGCTTCCTGATGATCAGTGGGGAGTGGAGCCGTCGGGAACATTCTGGCTCAGTATTTTGAGCCAGAAAGAACTCAGGAAATTAGCATTTGCAGAAGACGGTTGGCATGGCCGTCACGTGTGCATCTCATGGAGGATTACCTTCTTGGAGCAGAAACAAAGTACCTTGGCAGTGGGGCTACCCCTGTGCTGCAAGGGTTAAGTGCTCATCTTGTCCAGGGGGCCGGAGTACCGCAGACCTACTTACCTGAAGACAGTCAGCGCTCTCTTCTTCTCCCCGGCTAGTGGAGTGTTCCTCAGCATCCTCACGTCTAATGCAGGCCCATGGAACCTACATTAGATGTAATGACGTCATGGGCCCTTAGACTGCTGAAGCAAAGTGCACAAGAGGCCCAATTCCCAGCCAACAGAGATTCTTCGATTTCTCCTGACCTGTCTGCGGATCATCAGATTGGATCCCCGCAGATTAGACCACAGACACAAAATGGACCTTTTGCTGCAGCTGTACGTCATAGTAGCACCGTTTAGTTGGACTCGTGCACTGTACAGGGACAAAGAGCCCAGAATGGGGGTAAAATCCCGAATTGCGCGGGCCCCGCAGAGTCCCCGCAGATCACCAGGGCTGTATCTGGTCCATTGCTAGGACATCGGAGACATTTTTCCACTTCTGCGACGTCTCTTACAAATGTTAAATGTTCTGCGGGACGCGACGGTTCCATGGCGGGAAGGACACCGCCTGGCTGAGAATACGAGACGGCACAGCGGGTCATGCGTCGCGGGACTGCCCTTCAGAAGCGCTGACACGCGGGGAACAGAAGACGGATGAGATCTTTATGAACCATTAACCAATAAAGTGTGCAGACGGTCTGCCGGAAGGCCTCGGCGCGGTCTGACATCGATCAGCCGGACGCAACGTTTTACGGCGCAATAAGCTGGAACCCCGTCTGTACTCCGCGTCTGTCCGGGGGAACGCGTCACCGAACAAATCCGATTTATTCAAAACAAAACGGACAAACGTGTTCTGCAGCGTCTGCATTAAAGGGGATCTTGTGCGTGATCTCTATTGTGTCCTTGCGTGTCACTAATCTACTAAATGACATATCCGCCTCGATGTCGCAACACTTCTTAAAACTCAGCCTTTCAAAAACTGAGCACGTTATTCCCGCCATCCCCC